GGCGCACACACCGCGCGCATACGGCTACACACCCTAATCCCTAAACCCTACACCCCAAACCCTAAACCCTAAACCCTAATCCCTAAACCCTAAACCCTAATCCCTAATCCCTAAACCCTAAATCTTGAGGCAGCTTCCTAAAGCTGACCCCTTGCAATGAAAAAACTCCACATCTGCCCAATCGCAAAGATGTGCACCAACCAGAGCCAAATTCCCATTTTGGGGTCTGAATTTGGGTTCCCCTATTTTTGGATGAATAACATATGGTTGATAGTCAAAGTCCTGCAAGACCATAGCATATTATAGAACCATAATGCCCAAAGTTTCAGGTACTTAGGGTCACGCAGCATGTACAACGTACTAGAACAGGTTCTCACTGCAACGAAGCAAGCATCTGCATGTCTACCTCGTGAGGTAAAAAGACTGGCAACCCCATTGAATTACCAGGTCCTTAAGGAGGGTGGGGTGGGTCCAAGGCGGGTAGGTAGTGCGAACCTTAGGGTGCCTTTGGTTACTGAGCATCTACCCTCCTTGAACCAACCCCCTTAAGGATCTTGTCGCTGAAGGTTGGATCGTACTTTATGACTTTTCAAACCAACTGCCCCAGTAAACAGGGGCCTCATGAATGTATGAGCTTCCACTACTTGGGGGGACCCCAATACAGAACCCAAAATACGATGAGCGTTTTATCACAGGGAAACTCAAACAAGTGCCCCTGGTTTTGGAAAAGCCCGCAAAGTGTGTTGATGCGAGCTGTAGTCTAAACACCTAGTATCCCCTATACAATTCCCTGTAAAAAAACAACTTTTTTCAGGTGGTTAGACTATGGCTCATGTTAAGAAGTGACCCTCTTGCTATTTCCTGCAGAAGGTACAGATGCCACAACACTGGAACTGCACACCATGCCTATATTTTACTATACTCTACTATATTACATTATACTATGCCGTATTGGGCTGAATTATTTTGTTTTATACCATAGAAGATTTCATTTGGATCTGCTACATTCCTCGTAGGGAAAGTAGCAAAGGCCTCATTCTTCTCGGTTAATCAGCAACAAGAAGAATGAAGCGATGCAACAGACTTTTCTCCTGGAACAGTCAAACGATAAGTCCTGATAGCCCACTGCTCAGGTGCTGGTGGATCTGAGCTCTCTGCTTCTCTGCTTCGTGAGAGCGCATTAACGCCTGCCGGGCACAGAGTTTGCCCTTGACGCCAACTTCTCATTGAGCGGCATGACCAGGACTTGAACAGGGAATGTGTTGTATTGGGTAAGTTTACGGGTCAAGGGTTAAAAGCTGTGAAGTTATGGGCATAGTATATATATATATAGTGCAGCTCAAAACCAGAGCTCAAATCAATCAAGGGCTCTGAAGGTCTTCGGTTTGGATTTCCGAGTTGCTGGCGGCTGGTTGTTAGCAATTCGGGCTTGGGAAAGAACGTCAGGGGTGCTAGACGAATTTTGAACCCTGAGCGTGCAAGAGGAGAATTGGGCAATCTGGGAACATATCATGACCGGACCATGTTCTTTTTTAGGAGGCAGTGGCCTTCCTAGGGTCTTTTTCAGGCTTCATGGAAGTTTGGGTGAATATAAACCGGGGCTAAAAGCACGCTAAGAGGTCCCTGGATCTTCAACCCTGACTGCACAAGAGTCTATACGATCCACATATAATGGAGAATCACATGGAACAGAAAATGGAAAATGAAGTGGAAACTGGGTGAATATATAGATATACATCTGCGTGTTACACCTGTTTCCAAACTTGAAGACTCCAGAGTCTTCGGGCAGCCTTGATGACGGGGACACCTTTCTCAAGCAAGGTGTAGTACCCCGAGAATGGAGAACATGGAAAATGAAATGGCAACTGGGGTATAGGGGCTCATAAGCTCGATATCAAAGAGGGTCTTATGACCCCAAGTAGCCTAAACCTTGGAAATTGCAGTACTATAGCATACCATGACCATGCAGGTTTTTCGCGTATCAACACATTGGGTATTTCGTTTTTAGTGTAAGTCGTTAGTTGATAGCTCTGAATTAAGCTAATCCCTGAACCCTATAAAACCCCATAACCCCTTCAAAGGCACCCAGCCTATGAAACCCCTATATCCGCCCTAGAGCCCTACGCTGCTGTGCCTTGTAGAGCTTCTCGTACTCCAGCCGGAAGGGACTGGTAGAGGGGGCTTAGGGTTTTAGGTTCAGGGCTTAGGGCATACTCTAAACCCTAAACTCTAATCCCTAAACCATAAACACTAAGCCCTAAACCCTAAACAAGAGGTCGGGAGATCAGGGTCTATACGTTTCAGGGCTCAAGGTTTGTGGCCTATGATGTTGGCAAGATTATGGTATCGTTTTTGGGCAGCCTGAATGGTAGGGCTTTGGGTTCTGTGTACTACTAGGGACCTGAAAATTGACCTTTGTTTTGACCGTCTACCATGTGCCAATCAGTTTTATTTGCCGTATCTGTACCCTCAGCCCACAGTGCTTCTGAGGAACCATTGGTAATCGCACCAAAACCATATCAAAACCATTCTGTATCTCATATCCATCCCTACAGATCACTCTATAATCTCAGTTCCCATATCATTCTCCATCTTTCATTTAATTATCCATTAGCGGGGTAATATCCCTTTGGGCGTTTTCCGGATCCCGTGGAATATATACAGCGCGAGAGTAAACTACAAGGTGAACAAACCGTTCAGAAATTGGGTTTAGGGCTTAATGGCAAACAACAGAATCTACACCCAATCCCCTCAAGTTGCAAGCAGGATTGCCTTCCCATGTCCTCTGAAGAATAGCGTGTGTTGTTTCTCCAATCTTAACTGCATGCTTACTTCCCGAAATCCTTCAATTCACCTAAACCTCTGAAACGGCAAAGGATTCCAAGATTGAGTAACCATTCAAAAAATCCACATACACCCGTTCAGGAACGTGTTTAACTGGAATTCATGCACCCCCGCTCGGTGCCTCAGGAGTCGAAATTCTGCTGCGATTCTGGTTGAGGACTATTGTGCAACGATTGGACTTTCAAGTGCGCGCGCTGTCCTTCACCCGGACACCTTCGCACCAAACCTCCGACATTTCACGCAAAGCACAAAAGAGCGGCAACTACACATGTGGGGCCCCTTTGTTTTCTATTAGCAGAAAGCCGTCAGAGAGACTGGTTCTTGGTAGGGAATAGGGGAATATACTATATGGGGATTAAATGGGGATCTGGGGATTGTAGTCCTCTATGCCCTACTAAGTAAGAACCAATAAGCAAACATGACACGAATGACCATCATGACTCATGACTGTTGTGCTGGCAATTTCTGTCACAGTACTACAGCAATGATCGGAGCGGACAACTTCTCTTGCTAATCCTCACCCTAAACCCTAAACCCTAAAACCTAAACCCTAAACCCTAAAACCTAAACCCTAAACCCTAAACAAAAAGTCGCACTGCCATCTTAAAGCGACTCCTGCCTTTCTCTGAACCCTGAACAAAAAACCCTAATGCGTAAACCCCGGAAATCCCTAAACTTCCTAAACACTACAGGTAACGAGGCTCCGGCTCTACTATCTCCTTCTTCTTGCCGGTGAGCTCAATTATCGTGTCCTGCTTCTCGAGGTCCGATAGGCGTTGTATAAGAACTCTGAAATATCATGTCGAGATGGTGGAGGCTTATGGTTTAGTGTCGCTGCGGGAAGGCTCCTAACTTCTTGGTGGAGGAATACAAAGCGATTCTAATCTTGAGAAAATTCCAGTTTGCAGAGTGTACAGCGCGGGCGTAGTTTTCAAAAAAAAACGTTTCAAGTGTGAGGATAAGACTCAAGCTCTTTGCAAGGTCCTTAAATGAGAAATGGGATACAGCAAGCGGATTTCAAAGATAAAATCTTGCAAACCTCAGGAGCACATGTGCACTTAGCAAAGGTTCGGAATCCTTCAGCAAGATTTCCTGGAGCTCGGGTATGCTTCGATTAATGGCAGTGTAGCTGACACCCTTTCCTGGGCTTATGTTCAAGAACGAAAGGCAAGTAACCATAACGGGGATTTGTGGTAAATTACATGGCTTTTTGAAACAATCAATTGAATTTTATTTCCTTAACGGCATCCCAGTTACTGGCCCTCCTCCCAGTTGACCCCCAGAAGGCAGTTACGGAAACACCCAAACCCTGAACTCTCTGCCCTTGCCCTAAACCCTAAACCCTAAACCCTAAACCCTAAACCCTAACCGCTCAACCCTAAACCCCTAAGCCCTAGAGCCCCAGCCCCGGTACAGGCCTGGTAGTCCTTTTGTAGCGCCTCCATTGCTGATGCGCCTTGGACTGGGCGGCGATTGTAGTAGCAGTGAAAGACAGAAAGAGTGGTTATATACGGTTTCGCGTGTAAAGGAAGCAATCATGTGATCCCCAATAATGGAGAATCAAATAGACAAGATGTCGGTCCATGAAATTGAAGCTCGGACGATATAGGGATTTAGAGCTTCGGGCCGACCCTAAACCCTAAATCCCTCAACCCTAAACCCTCAACCCTAAGGTAGGTAGGATACGAAACTGTAGCGCTATCTAGTGTAGTAGTGACAAGGGACTTTAGGATCTTACTTGGCAATACACTGGCTTCAGACCTTGGAGTAAGGCTTCAGACTTGAAGCTTCCAAAGATTAGGGAAAAGGGTTTAGGATTTGAGGGTTCTGGTTGTTAAGTTTAGTGGAGGAGGTCATGGTTTGGGGGGGAGGGGTTGGATTTGGGACTCAGGATTTGGATCTTAGGGGCTAGACTCCAGAGTTTGGGGTGTAGGGTTCCTGGCCCTATCGTACTGCCCTGTGGCCCGCATCAGCTTTTGGACCCTAGACGTAAACCCCTTAACCCTGAACAAACACCCCCAAACTCTTTCATCTTACACCACGAACCCTGCCGTTACATCCTGACCCGTGCAGCTGGAGGGCTTCCGCTTAGGACTTAAGGTTTATGGTTAAAAGGCGCAGGTGCTCGGGGCTGTGGAGCTTGAAGGCACTGGGCTCAAGATGTGTCAGAATTTATGCCTTTAGGGTTTAGGGCTTCAGGTTTTAGGCTTTGAGGTCTTGGGCGTTGAAACGCCTCTCACTGGGGGTTCTCATGATACCCCCTGAATGTAGATCCTTGATTCACACAGGCAATTCTTTGGGTCCGTAGCTTTGCGATGTTCACAACTGAAACCTGGGCTTCCGCGCTGTCGGGTGATGTCGCCATGGCTGCTCAGGACCGTTGAGAATTACCAGCTGGTGGGTCCAGTGCTTCTTGGTTCTCAAGCTTTTGGACTCGGAAAGTCCATGTAAAGTACATATGCTTCCTAGCAAAGGCAGGAACTAAGGGCCTAGTAGGTTTCTTTGGGTTTTACGAAGCTCAGGGTTGCAAAGGCTAGGTTTCTTAGCAGAACCTGGTCCGGTAGGAGTAGGCTTTGCTTAGAATTGTAACCCGGTCATTGCGTTTCATCTGTCTACTAGTGCCTGCGGGCTGTGAGACCACCTTGAGATGTAAGCCACAGGAATTGGACTGGCTGAAGTTTTTGCCTGAGAGTTCCGGAGTCCAGGGCTTCCGGGCTGCTGAGGGAGTTGGTGGCCAAGAGTCTCAAACTCATGGCTTTTCAAGACTTGCATGGGGAGTTGATGGTTTTGACCATTCTCCTAATTCCAAGGGGTTACAACACAACAACGAACGAAACAACGATTCAAATCCGAGTTCGGGACGTCTCAAAACAATGGACTTTCCTTTGGAGTGGGTAATGAGGGGGCTCTAGGTACCCCAACCTCGACAATCAGGACCCTATAACAATGCTTTTAGGGTTTAGGGTTTAAGGTTAAGGGACATACCATACTTGGGCACCTCTCTCCAAGAAAACTGATCAGGCCAGCCAGTGGCCCAGGGGAGGAGCCTAAATACTGACCAGTACAGGGGTCCCCACCGAAACCCTATTGGTCCCCCCCCAACCTAAACTTAGTCCGTAGCTCCTATGGTGGTATATAGGAATAATGGAGAATCATATGGAAAAGCAACTTGAGAATGAAATGGACACTGGATCTACATAGGGGTGGATAAGGATTATCCGAACTAATGCATTACCAATATCCTTTTGAGGTCGAATTTCAGGTCCCCTATACCATAATTATACAAAGAACCTAGGACCACAATACTTGTCATTCTCGAGGTCTCTAGAAAACTTTGGTCTGA